GTGAACCTCCTATGCACCAGCTTACCCCCATTGCCCCTTGTCCTGTCATTGGCTGTCACTGAGAAGAGCCTGGCTCCTTCCCCCTGACACTCGCCCTTTACAAATTTATAAACATGAATGAGGTCACCCCTCAGTCTCCTCTTGTCCAAGCTAAAGAGACACAGCTCCCTCAGCCGCTCCTCATAAGGGAGATGCTCCACTCCCTCCATCATCCTCGTGGCCCTGCTGGATTCTTTCAAGCACCTCCCTGTCCTTCTTGAACTGAGGGGCCCAGAACTGGACACAATATTCCAGATGCAGTCTCACCAGGGCAGAGTAGAGGGGAAGGAGAACCTCACTAACCTACTAACCACACCCCTTCTGATACATCTCAGGATGCCATTGGCTTTCTTGGCCCCAAGGGCACATTGCTGGCTCATGGGCATCCTGCTGTCCACCAACACCCCCAGGTCCTTTTCTGCCTGGCAGCTTTCCAGCCACTCGTCCCCAGGCCTGTAGCGCTGCATGGGGTTATTGCGACCCAAGCGCAGGACCCAGCACTTGGCCTTGTTGAAGCTCATACAGTTGGCCTCAGCCCATTGATTCAGCCTATCCAGGTCCCTCTGCAGAGCCTTCCTGCCCTCAGGCAGAGCAACACTCCCTCCCAACTTAAGTGTCATCTGCAAACTTGCTGAGGGAGCACTCAATCCCCTCATCCAGATCATTGATCAAGATGTTAAACAGGACTGGCCCCAAAACAGAGCCCTGGGGAACACCGCTTGTGACTGGTCGCCAACTGGATTTAGCTCCATTCACCACAACTCTCTGTGCTCAGCCATCCAGCCAGTTTTTGACCCAGCAAAGCGTATGCCCGTCCAAGCCATGCCCAGGCTTTGTTACATGGAAGACTAAACCTTCTCCCTTGAGCTCCTTTCTTTAGCATAAACACACATCCAAGCCTTGCCCCTGTAATCAATAGCCTGAGAAACAATTTGCATTCATAAAAACTTTGAAAAATCCTAGTGTAGAAAAACCAGTGCAACTCCACATCAGTTTAGAGGAATGAAAATTGGCTAAAGAGGTAGCCAAGCAGATCTCAGTCTTAATGTTTACACACGTAGCTGATTGCATCTGCTGTCTGCCAGCTTGACATTTTCTGGTAAGCAAAAAATCTCAAGTATTTAAAAATGTATGTTTTAAAACATGTCTCTGCCTAGTGTGTTTCAGCAGCCAACAATATTCAGTGTTTACCTATAGCATGAGGTAACGACCTGAGGAAAATTGAGCAATAGATGTTACCATAACCCTCTTTCAGGAGTTTTACTGAAGTGAAGCTTCCCTCTTAATTATCAGGAGTTTGATAAAAAGAAGAAAAGTATCTCCTCCACTCTTTCCTTTTCCCACTTTCTGATATTTAATATTTCATTGCACCATGATGTATCATCATCCAGGAGAGCGGCATGAGATAAATCAGAAACACAACCACCAAAAATCTGCTCTTACTTTGTAATTTAATACCTTGAGCAATGACCTTGCATAAGATGCTTGCTCTGTACCCAAGGCAGGAAGAACATAATATTTTGTTGCATTTCATTTCATATTCTCTTTGATAACTCCAAGCATCCCAGGATATGAAATCCCGACTGCAGATGCAACTCGCTGTAGTATGGCACCATAGAGACTCTTGTTTTGAGGCCTGGACTGCACAAGTGAGGTCACTCTCTTGACTAAATGTGAACTGTTGGATTTGACCCCTTCTATTAATAAAGAAGATGGTGAAGGAGACAAGCCTAATTGCTGGCTTCTGATATAATAAACAGGGCAGGAGGGCAAAGAGGGAAAGATTGTACTTATGGCCTGCAGAGGAAGAGACCACTGAAGAATTTAAAAAAAAAATAAAAAAAAAGTAGTTTGCGCAATTTCACAGCGTGTGGAGCACTGGGGGCTCTTCCTGAATCTATAATAAAAGGTGACAGCAGCCACAGAAACTGCAGCAGAGACAGGAAGCCCTGTCAAATCTCTGCTGTGTGAATGCGATCACTTGCTGAAGCTGTTAGCAAGGACTGAAGCAGAGAAAGCGATGGCCTCCATTATAAAACAACAGAGGCACCTGTTTTTTATTAAAATTCAGGTGTAGCAAAGGTAAATTTTGAAGTGTCATAAAGGCATCACCAATTTCTGCCTCAGCCCAAAAAGGGAGAGAAGTGAGTGCTAGTGAAAAAAAAAAGGGGAGCATAAACCACTTTCACCTCCTGTCCATTTTGAGAGCAGAGGTCTTGGTACGCCTGTGCTTGCTTCAGAGAGGTTGATGCCCCCAGCCCTGCGCTGCTGCTGGGGATGCTGGCACAGACTGGGAGGGAGCAGGGAAGCCAAGGGCACCTCATCACACCAATGTGTGGGCTGGGAACAGAGATGGCTGCAGCTAGCAGCCAGACGGTGGTCAAGGAGGCTGTGGGTTTTCTGCCAGGGCTGGCCACACGTCAGCACCATGTCCGTGCCATGTCCTGTCCCAAAGGCACTACCTTGTGCCCTGAACCACTCCTCTGTGCTGAAGACAAGACTATGACTTGATTGAAAGGCAGAGGAGGATTTTTGTCTTAAGAAACACTAAAATGGGTTTTCACATACTCAGTTTTTCCAAATACTATTTAACACTGAAAATACAAAATCTTTTAATGCAGGGCAGTAAACAATATTTTCTTTAATTCTTCTGTTTACAAAGGGGAGTGAGAGGCAGGTAAACACTGGTTATAGGTTCATTTACCAACCATTTTTATCACAAGTCTTTAGGGTTTTTAGCTTAAATTAGGAGTTATAAAAACAAATCACAAGCCAAGCAACTAGGGACTGAACTCTAGCTGGTGGGAAGAGAACATAATATGGGTAGCAAGGAAGTGAGTTGGTGAAAACTTCACTCCCAGGCCCATCATACCTCCAGCACTAGTTTTTCGGAGCATCAGTGCAGAGCAGTGGCCGGAGCTAAGCTGCATTGGCAGGTATGCCTTTCCTCATTAGCTTTCCTTTCCCTGCTGGGAGCTCTACCTGTCACCAAGGTTTAGTTCCAGGTGGCTGTGCTGCTCCAGTACCCGCAAGCCAGGAACCTCCGCCAAACCAAGAGGACTAGGAATCGCATCCATGATGCAGTGCACCACAGTGTGGGCTTTTGACAGGCCCACAGCGTCACAAATGCAAGCTTGAAAAGATTTTTTGTGGCCTTCGGTATCATTTCAGCAGCTTCTGCATTGGCCAGACTGTATGCTGTGACTCACGGATACTGGGATTTAAAAAGCCAAGTCAAAACAGGAAAGACTTCAGGCTGACAATCAGACTGCTCCCTACACCAGGCTCAGAGGGAAAGCTGCAGCAGTAGATGTAACTGCTCAGTGAAAGGGTGATTGCTCTCCAGGCAGCTTAGCAGGCTCGGGTCTGTGAGGGATAGCTTTAAAGGAGAATTTGCACAGAGAAAGCACATAGGCTGCTTTACAGGAATCCCTTTTTTTAGACAAGGAAACCAAGGGAAGAGAAGTCAAGTTCTAATCATTTGTCATGGTTCAGTATCCTCTAAATATTAACTCTGAGAACATTGGTATACCACTGACTGCTGAGTTAAATTTCTGGACTTTCTGGTTTTTGGGTGGTTGTGGGGTTTTGTTTTGTTTTGGGTTTTTTGGGTTGTTGTTGTTGGGTTGGTTTGTTTTTTTTAATTTTTTGAGTCAATTAAGTATAAAAACCTGACTATTTCAAAGTCAGAAACACATTTACAGTTTAGTTCATAGACAAAAATGAGAGACTGAATTTCATCTTAAGTTCATTGAGCTCCTTTAGGATGTTACTAGTTTAAACTAATCCAACTCCTTGCTGAATACGTGGGATTTTTTTTTTCTAGAATCCAGCTTGATGTGCTGGGCCAACATGCATGTTATTCTGAAGATCTATGGGGAACAAAAGTATTTCAATCAATTAAGATTGATGCAGGGTGATTAGTACCACCTCTCTGCTTTCAGTACTGTGACTCATAATAATATAGAACATAATTAACTGTAGCATTGTAACATATATAAAAATATAAAACAAAGGGGGCTGTTCTGACACTACTCTGATCACACAGAATCAATTAGTTTGGATGAAATATTTATTAATTAAAAAAGAAGAAAATAAAAAATTAAAACCCTTTCAAATACATCTCTGTCAATTACAGGGAGATTCAAATCCTGTGTAATGGCTTCAGATCACCTCCACTACAACTTAAAGGAATAATATTCTTTGTGTAAGATTCTAGGGCAAGATACATAATATGGTGGGAAAAATAGCTCTGATTCCCCAAATCTCCAAATCTGTAACCCAGACTACTCTTCTTGACCTCCTTTTATTGGTTCACACTGTTTTACTAAAATGTAGCACACAATGAAATAGAAATCTCTCAATTAAATTATCACTTACTGTCTGTTGTGCTGCCACTTTTATCTGCTGCTGTAGTGGTCATTTTTACTGGTGGTTGTGTTGTTGTGCCTTGTGTTATTTGTTGTGTAGTACTAGGAGGAGACGATGTGGAGCCTAATAAAGGAAAGACATTCAAATTATTTCTTCAATTTTGTATAAACACGTGTGCACACACACAAAACACACCTATTGCCCTGCCTGCAGCCTGGTTTTAAATTAGCAAAAGAATATTTCATTTAAATGGAAGATCAACAGGGACAGGGCTCCCTTTGCTGCAGAGAAAGCCACTTCCTGTCCCAAGAGTGGGTCATCCCACTGACAACAAGCCTGTGATAATGCAGTTACAAGGCCTGGCTCAGAGCTGCCTTGAGCCTGACCAGGAGGAAGCACCTGAGCACACTTGCAGGATTTCACCAAAGAGTTCACTATCTGTAAAACAAATTCCCAAGCCTATTGCTTAATTTCCTGAACAACTGTTGGAACAGCATCAACAATTAGCTCAAAGAAATTTTCACTTACTGCTTGTGATGGATTTAGTTGTAGTCTTGACTGCAGTCGTTGTCAGCACTGCAAGCGTTGACGCTTGCATTGTTGTTGGTTTTGAAGTTGATGCAGTCACTGTTTCCTTTGCTGCAAGAAAGGCATTTGTATCTTTATTGATTTATTTTATAATGCATAAATAAACGTCACATACCTCTAGGTGCCTTCTCTCACAAAGGCAGTGAATTTCTGTTTAAAGTCTGGCCCTTACCGAAATTTGTTACCCACACAGTTTTAAAGAGGATTCAAAGTATCAATGGTTAGTACCAGAGAGGGGGTTTGGCCTGTGGACAGTCTGCAAGTTGTCCACTGAAAGTTAGCAGGTGTACCTTCTGGCCATCCCATAAGGAAGAGGCATATGCTCTTTGGGAATTATACAGAGGTGTTTGGCATGACTTCCAAAGGAAGAGGTGAGAGGAAGGGAGCTTGGTGTGGATGGATGAGTTCACTGTGCTGCTGGACAAGACTGCTGACCAGCACTGTGCTGCATACCTGTTTAATAGGAAGAGGGATATAAACTCCCCAGAAAGAAGTGTGAATGATACACAAGGACACAGCTTATATATTACAGATAAAGAACCAAAGGGGAAGAGACTCTCATAGTCTCTGTGCATTTTTTCCTTCTTTTCTCTGCTGTCCACCTGAAGCCCCAGTTGAGCCTTGTCTGGCTCGCTTTCCCAGACCCTCTTCCTCTGCATGCAGAATTTTTGGGGATAAAAGAGCATCTGGCAAGTCTTTCTCTGAAATGTGCAGCTAAGCTTGGAACACCTTGCACAAGATTAATAATACTTTCTAGTGAGTGATATTCCCCAGGCTGAACTTGGTGCCCTTTGTAAGGTGACTCTTGGTAGTTCTCTCCTCCAAAGTGGTGAGATTTGGAGCCTGAGGGAAGGGGAAAGGGCTCCCTTGGGCAGCAGGGATCACTTCCAGCTGCTGCTGGTATGAAAACTGGGGAGCAGAGTTGCCCAAACATCACTAAGGCAATAGCAAGGTTTAAATCAGCATGTCTTGCTCTGCATGGATGGCATACTGCAGGTCCTCTGTGCCCCTAGCACGTGCTTAAGGAAATGAACTGGCCAAATTGCTGCTGAGGGATCTGGGCTAAAAAAAACCCATAACTAATCATTGTAAGAGCCCAGCTTTCAATTTAATCTAATACAAACAGAAAGTGCTACTGTCATCTACAGAGGCTCATTTCAATCCCTGACAACAACTCAACATGAGTCCTACTACATCTTCTAGCACTTTTCATGGACAAGAAACAGGATAGAATAGGAACAAATCATGACATGACAGGACATTTTCCCTCATAAGACCTGAGTACTTCCAAATGCAATCTTCATACCAGCACCTTTAAAATACAACTTATATTCTCTTCCTTCACTCTCAGTTTCCTGGCTGTTCACCTAGAATAGCAGTGCCTCAGAACATGGACCTCCTTGGGAGCTTCCTTCATACTTAAAAGTGCCTTAGTCTTACAGTGAACTTCTGATGCTTTCCTCAAAGGCATAAATAAGAGTACTGCTTTCCCTTCTGCAACAAAAAGGTGCAAGAGAAATTTCAGTGAAACATTTGAAGAGCTCATTCACTGTGAGGTCTTGGACCTTTATTAAATGTCTTTCAAAAAGACATGAACATCAGGGTGTTCGAAACATAAAAGAACTGGAACACAATTTGAAAACAACTAATTCTTCTGCTGTAATAAACATAACATATGCATATGTCACTTGGCTGCATCTTATTCACCTCCATTACTACCACTTCAAGTGACAACTTTATGCACATGTATTCTCTCCTATTAACTAAGGCCCAACATTGGCATATATTGTGTAATTCTTCACTATTAAAGTTCATGTCCTCTTCTATCACTCTACACCCATCAAATCAGCTACTCCCTGCTGCCACATCCCTTAGCTGATGCTGTTTCCCAAATTATTCTCAATCTGACAACCTCTTGAACTATGAGTCTTAGCTAGTTTGTTAATACCTGATCACACTTGAACCACTCATTGAGGGCAAAGCAACTCACAGAATTTCAGCCTATTTCACCTGGAACAAAAAATGCAGCCTGTTCAAATGAACCCTCTCTTTACTAAGATCCCTCAATCCTTTCAACTTTTATAAGAGCCTCAGGGAAATACATTGCTCTGCAATCACCTTACATGAAATAATTCACATAATTTCTCCCAGAAAAGCTGAAAGCTAAAAAAAAAACTTTTAGGCTGAGAGCTAAAAAGGCAATGGGAGCTCCAGAATACCATGTAACAGCGAATTTGAACTCTTACCAGATTTCAATGTTGTTGTAGAAACAGCTGAAGTGACAGTAGTGGTTGGAATATCATCATCTGAAATAAACACAGAAAGAATCATATTACTTCAGTGACCCTCAGATCTGTAATATTTAGCATTACGGAGGCATATAAGGCAGAGAGCAGCAAGGACCTTCCTGGAAAATCAAGTTCAGAAGCCTATCAGGAGAAACAACCAAATCATACAATTCTGCTAGCAATCTTTTCAAGCTGCATCCTTATTCTTTTAGCTTTGCCCTCACTGCTGTAATGGGTAGCATCTGCTACAGCCTCCCACCTTGGACTGCAGGTTATTTTCCAACAGGTATTAATGTCTCTAAAACTAGTTGGCAAATAACCCTGGAGCAATCAAAGGTAGCTCCTCCTCTCTTTGCGTATGATCACAGCTACTCTGGGTCTTCAGGGTGGAGAATTAGCTAAAATAACTGACTGCAGAAGTAAGTACCCATTCTCCTGCTTTGAAGGAACAAAATTGTACTGGCTCTCTGGCTAGTACCAGCACTTCAGGAGGGGTTTTCAGCATCACCCTGATCCTTATATGTGATGGGAAGAGGAGAATTCACAGAACGTGGCTCAGGAAACACCAGCTTGAGTAATGACTGATTTTTCCCCTTTAGTAAATAATGCCAGTCTTAAAAACCCTAGGTCAAGTTAGTAGGCGAAAGTCTCCAAAATTACAGAACAAACTGCCCCGAACTCTCCCACCAAATCAAAAGCGAAATATTTTCTGGATCTTCTAGCTGTGCTGAAAAGTTGTAAGAGAATAACTCAACTAGAGTTTTGGCTTCAAATAAGATTTGCAGTCTTATTTCTGGGGTGTCCATATTTTTCCACTAAAAGAAGATAAGGGGGTGATGAGGGGGGTTAAAAAAAAACCAAACTACATTGAGTCAGAAACAGTGGCATTTTACAGTGCTGTGAGACCAGGACGAGTACATTTGGGGAAGAAGAGATCAGTTCTGCAATTGAATGGGAGAGAAAAATGGCACAGACTAATCCCCCAGCGCTTTCAGGTTTGGAGCACGACATCCTGTCACGATGCATTAGCATGCTGTAATGTAGACATTGTAAACCTGAGTCAGGACAGCGTGTCACTATTCTTGTGTGATTCCATTCATGGTAATATCTGCTGGCATTCTCTGTTTTTTTGGCTACAGGGCAGAACAGTCAGCTTTGTTCCTTTGCTCAGCATACTGCGCTCTGATTAACATTTCACAAGCACCACCCGAGGCCTGCCAGAGTCACAGATCTAACCTGGAAAAAACCCGTACTACAACTGCAGGAGCTCTGTGGGCACATACTAAGGCATAGCCAGACGAGCACTTACAACTCCTCTTCAAGCACATAAGGTGTTATCGGCCCTCTTGACACCTGTGCATTTCTGGTGGGTCTTGGCTGAGATGTTGCCCGTTCCCAGTGACCCCCGCTCTTCTGGGTATCTTTCCCAGGTATGCTGCTGCCTTCATAATGCCTCATTGCGGCACGTGCTGGCCCAGTTTGATATGGGCATATCCCATACCGAATTACATCAGTTCCCTACGGGCCTGCTGTTATCCCAGCCCTACACATGAATACAGTCAGGCTATCAACAGCCTCTTACACAGCGCATTTAAAAGGTTTTTTTTTCCTGCCATTTAGTTACCCAGTCAGAGTAATGCTTCGTAACTCACACTTGAAATACTTTGAAAAGAGATTTTATCCAAATAGACAAAAAAGCAATCTTGTTTCCCTAAACAACAAGCATTTTTCCGTCTCTCCATTCTCATTATGAGCTGCTGACAAAGCTCCTTGTAATTCCCCACATCACAAGGCCACAGCACTAAAAGAGAATTTTTTTTCAACAGTGCCTACATTTCATATGGTTTGTTATAACATTGCCCAGTAACTACCATGTCTGTAACACCAGCTAAATGCACTAGCTGGCCAATTAGCTCATTCCCTAATTCACTTTTCCCCTAATTCAGCATGACTTTGTGGAAAGCCCATTGCAATACTTAGATTATTCATCCTTTAAAGATGTTCCATTTAATAACCATGTTGATAGGCCAAGATTTCCTTAAAACTAAAGAAAAAAATATTAAGTCACAGTTTCGTTATGATTCACAATTTGCTGATTTTATCACAGGCTAGAGATAAATTAAGGTAAACCTGATTAGCAGAGTAGAATAAAGTGGCGTTTTATGAATTGTTTTCTTAAAATGGTGGATAATTAATTATACTTTAAAAACAAGTTGAAAGCAACACGCAAAAATGCTTAAAACTAGTCAGGATTTTGGGAGGCATTGGTTGATTAAAAGGAGCGATAGAACTGGTGTCTTATTATGCTCTTATTTGCAATGTTAAGTTGTGACTAAGGAAAATCCTATGGGAGATAAAAGTAAGAGATTAAAAATGATTGAGAAAATAACTTTGGCCCATTAGAGTCTGTCGCTAGACAAAGAGAGAGACAGAAAGATTAATTTTCCTGCTCACATCAGGTTGGCTGCAGCCTCAGATGACGGCCAACCAATTAAAGTTACAATTGTGGGGTTTTTTGGCCAATTTAAATGCAGATATCCCTTTGATATGAGAGCATCTTGATGTACTCTGATGTGGGAGTAGCCAACATCTACTTGGCAACAGCTCCCACACACAAACCTCTCCCATTTGCTGTGTTCCTTGGCAAAAAACTCAGCTGAAAGAGTGACCTGGGATGTGGCACCCTTGTGTCTGGAGAATATGCCTGGGGGTAAAGGGTGCT